CACAACCCTCTTGTCTGTTGTGGGAATGGGCTGGCCTACCGAGTGGAGATGTGTTTGCAGGGAGAGAGAAGTATCCTGTGTGGGTAAGTTCCTATGAGACATGATATAAGGATGAGGCCCAACGTGGGTGTCATAATGTGGCCCCCTCCTGCCCACCTGTGCAGACTGATAATGCCTCTTCTTGCTGCTCACCGGCTCTTCAACTCTTGCTTATAAATGTACGCAGCCATTTCTTCTCCCCTGTGATCACTGGTGTGGCATTCCTCCCCTCTCCCGCCCATTCACTGCCACTTCTCTTCAGAGCTCACCAGGGCAAGAAGAAGTGGTGTGGGATTATGAGTCTGGTGACCTTTCTGAAGAGGAGGGGTATATCTAGTGTGGTTTCTGCTGTTATGATGAATAACACACTGTCACCATTGCAGTTTTGTGGGACAGGTGGGAAGAGAGCTGGCTGGCCCAGCTGTGGGGGACTGAACTTTGGCTCTTGAGCTCCCATGCAGTCGAGAGTACCACTTGGTGCAGAGAAACCTCTAGTTGCTAAGGAATGGCTTGGATCTGGAGTTAGAGTTCTCTCTGTGACAGCTGGGAAGAGATACTTGCCCAAGTTTTGTTTGGATGGGCATGTGAGATTTTTATTTCTCTTTTGTTGAGTGACCCTGTTCCTTGTGTGAACCCCCGGTGGGTGAGGATGGCTTGGTTGGTGGCCTGCCTGATCATTATCTACTTAATACAGAAGCTTCAGTGTTGCTGCTTTTTCCCCCAGATCAGAAATTGACCATGCCGATGGGCTTCATTTAGTCTCCTTACATTTCCTTTCTGAAATTCTCGCTCATACTTTTGCAGCTTAAGTAATGTGCCTCCACCCCCTACCCACAACACCCACACATAACATGTTATCCTGACACTGCGCCTCTGAACTCTGTCCCTGACAAAACGTTAATCCTCTCCCTTAGCTATCTGTCGAGTGGAGAAGGATTTAATAAACTAGTTTACACCAAGGTGTTAATGAGTCTTAATATGTTACCTTTGGGACATCTGCCTTGTAACTGTGAAGATCAAAACTAAGCCTTATAGTCTAAGAGGTAAATGGCTAAGAATGGAATTGTGGCACTTCTAAATGTGGGTGGTGGTGATGTTTTTGGAAGAAGGTTGGGAAGGGAGTCGTTAAAGGAGGATGCTGCTTCGTCTATCCCACTGGTGCCCATTCATGCTGCTGGCCCTGCAGGGAGACCCCTCAGCTGTCGTCCTGTGATGATGAGGAGGAGGAGACGGTGGAGAACAGCCACACTGAGAGGTTTTATGGGCTCTGCTGAGTGGCTTTCTTGCCTTCTTTGGTCCCGTTAGATATCTTGACCAACAAGGACGACAACGCCAGCCAGCCCCATGACTTACATGGAACAGCTGGAAAGATGGCATGAGGCAGATGAGTCCTGGGGGCCCACTGGGGCCCCTGTGAGGGCCTCAGAGACCACATGTTTTGTGGGGGAGCCTGACCATAGGCTCTTCTTTCCTTCATGCAGACGTTTACAGCATGGTGCAACTCCCACCTCCGGAAGGCAGGGACGCAGATCGAGAACATCGAGGAGGACTTCCGGGATGGCCTGAAGCTGATGCTGCTGCTGGAGGTCATCTCAGGTGAGGTGGACCACTGGCCTGGGGAGGGCCGGGGCAAAGGTGATGCCAGATGGGCAGGGGTACCCTGGGCCAGGATCAGGTGTTGCCCGGTGGCTTCTGCCACTTTGGGAATGCTGCCCTGATAACCTCTGCTTCTGCTCTGCCTCTGGTCAGGGCTAGCTTTAGGTCTCTCAAAAAAAGTTGAGGGTGACGTGTGAATTCAGACAAGGAAACTGAGTTTGCTCCTGGCTCTGCTGTTGACCATCTGCATGTCCTCAGATAAGTCACTACCGTCTGGCCTCAGCATCCTCATTTGCATTAAGAGGGGTTTGAAGGATGGTCTCTGAAGGCTCTCCTCCAAATACTGGGATTCTGTGGTCAAGAATGCAACCAGGGCTGACCATCTCCAAAGGCTGTGTCCACTGCTGTCTCTCTACCTATATCCAGGTGATCCCAGTCCCTTATCTCGCTCCCAGCTTGGAATTTGGATGTCCAGATATCTGGAGGGACAGCTCCCCCTGGATGTGTGTCTCCACCTTCTTATGAATACCTTTCCTCCACCATCTCCAAGGGTGCAGGGCCCCAAGATTCTAGCCTTGGCTGATGCACTGGGCAATCTTAGATGCTCTCTTCACTTTACCTTTCATCTTGATCACAGTCCAGCCTTCAGCCTCGAGCCCCCTCTTAAATACTGAATTGCACGGGGCATCTCCACCCGGGTGTGCCCCAGTGTCCCAAACTGTGTACCGTGCCTGGCCCTTGCAAACCTCTTTTTCCTCCTTCAGTCTTCTTGTTCTAAACCTAATCTAGGAATCGTAGACAGCTCTTTCTGGGCTCTTTGGCATTCACATTTCATTTATTCTACTTCTTTCTTCTATTAACCTTCTTTCATTTCTGATACCATGGTGTCAGTGTGGGCCTGTGTCTGCCCTCACATGATGCCCAGAGGCCTTCGAACCCTCCCAGCGCCTCCCTCCCCACTGCCCTAGTTACCCACACTGCAGCCAAGGGTTCTTCCAATGGCCCAAATATGGTTGGGCTGTTCCCTGCTTAAAACCCTTCAGTGCCTCTCTGGGGCTTTTCGCCTGCAGCTCATATTCCTCAGCATACCTAGCAGGAGCCTTCATGAGTGGGCACCTGCTTTGTTTTCAACTAACTATTTCCAAAAAGGTGTTGGACTTCAGACCCTCTGCCCTATGGGGACACCGTGGACACTGGCTGCTCTCCATGCTATTGTACAAGCACCCCCTTCCCCTAGTACTTTACAATATTTCCACTGCAGGTGACATCTGTAGGGGATAGGTGTAGGGATTGTGTGTATGTGGTAACATACACATAACATACAGTTTATCATTTTGACCGTTTTTAAACGTATGCAGAGGCATAAAGTACATTCACATTGTTGTGCAGCCATCACCACCCTCTGTCTCCAGACTTCATCATTCCACACTGAAACATACCATTAAAACACCAACTCCCCGATTCATCTTTCTCCAGCCCCCTCCCACCACCATTCGACTTTCTGTCTCTGAATCTGACTCTTCTAGGTTCTTCATATGAGTGGAATCATACAGTGTTTGTCCTTTTGTGACTGGCTTATTTCACTTAGCATAATGCCCTCATTGTTCATCCAGGAAGTAGCATGTATCAGAATTCCCTTCCTTTTGAAGGCTGAATAATATTCCATTGGATGTATTCACCACTTTTTGTTTAGTCATCATCTGTCGATCAACACTTGGGTTGTTTCCACTTTTTGGCTATTGTGACTAATGCAGCTAAGAACTTGGATGGACAGATACCTGTTCAAGTCTGTGCCTTCAGTTCTCTTGGGTATATACCCACAAGTGGAATTCCTAGGCCCTAGGGTAATTCTGTGTTTAACTGTTTCAGTAATTGCTGTATCGTTTTTCTTTTAAAGTGCCCTTCCCTACCTCCTCCTCCAACATGTCTTAGTTTAAACAAACAATGAGACAAACCTGGCATTGTTCTTTTTCATTCTTCAAAACTCAGCTTTCATGGGTTTCCTCCAGGAAGGCTTCTCTGACTGCCATGGCCCCCACTCCTACTTTGAGTGGCTGCCCTCCTCTGGGCTCCTTTAACACCTCCCTGATTCCTCTGTTGTGTTATTGTCCACATGGTGGGATCATTTTTGGCTCACATGTTTTCTCCCCACTGTACACTGAGCCCCTTGGGGCTGGAACGGTCTCATCTGTGTCCCAGATACTTAGACCTGTACTTGGTACATAGGTCATGCTCAGCAAATGTTAGAGTGACCAAATGCCCCGCTGGGCTTTTCTGCGTAATCACCAGGTGCTCCCACATTATAGACCAGCCTGTGCACATCTGTGAGGCGGGCTTGTCTCTTTCCTGGAGCAGAGGGAAATGGAGTCACAGAGACATTGCCTTTTCCTACTTGAACTTCTCTGGAGATGGATAGGATGACGGGAGAAGGAAAGGGGATGCTTCCTGCAGAGATCCTCCAAATGTGGTCCCTGGACCACCCACACCACTGCTTGGCCGCGTGCGGATTCCCGGACTACACTCCAGACCTCCTAAATCAGACACTCAGGAGGCAGGGGATGGGGGGACCTGCAGTTAGCAGGTTCTCCAGGTGGTTTGTGCTGAGTGAAGTTTCAGAACCACCGGCCTTGCTGCGTCCACTGCCCTGAAGTCCTGTGCTAGCCAGGGTGTGCAGCTGGTGGGCAGGCCCTAAGGGCTGGGACTCTAGCGGGAATAGCCTTCCAGGGGGGGACATGTTGCTGCCTCCATCCTTGCTAACAGAAGGGACCCCTGTGGCATCTCATCTGGTCAGGGGGGCGGTAGGGTCCCTTGCCAGAGAGGGTGGGCAGTGGCCACAGCCTTGGTAAAGCTGCAGGTGCAAAGTCTTGATTGAATAATAATAAAACCCATGTCCTTCCCTGGGAGCTTCCAGGCCAGATCACATGTGTGGCAGGAAGTCTGTCCTCTAGAAGTTGGGGGGCTCCTGGAGAAGTGCTGCTCTGCTGGTGGTGGGGTGTGGCCCAGCATCAGGGTCTCTCAGCCAGACTGTTGATGTGCTTGGAGAGGAGTGGAGAGGATGCAGCTGATCTGGTCTGGAGACTGTGGCAGTGGCAGATGCAAAGGCCCTGAGCTTCAGGCTCTAGGATGGTGGTTCTCAGCCTTCTGGGGTCCCTCACCTCTGAGAGACCCTGGAAGCTGTATGTCCCATCCCCAGGTATGGGCACACATGTTGTACATATACATTTCTCAGATAGTTTCAGGAGATCCCTGGACGCCTGTATTCTGTGCTCTAACAGGGTGTTTGGAGAACCAGCTCCTTAAGCCCTGTTTCCCAGCAACTTCTGACCCTAAAGCCTGAACAGCGGAAGCTCCCAGTGGAAGCTGGAGGTGGGGGTGGGGAGTGGTAGCTGAGTGTGGGTGGAGGGTTGACTTGGGGCTGAGCTGAGGGTGCACCTGGAAAGTAGTAGCCGGTTCTCAAATGAGAGAGGGACGCTGTGGGCAATTCCATTTTAACACACAAGGAATGTTTTCAAAATACTCTGGAGTGACCCACACTCCCTCCCAGGCCAAAACGGTCTAGAATAGGAGTTCAGGGCCTTCGTGTGTGCTGTTCCTTCTGCCCTGATCACCATTCCCTGCAGTATAGGCCTGGCTGCCTCTCACTCAGAGTCCTTCCCTGACCACCTCACAGCTCCTTCATCCTCCCTGCGCTCCTCTGTAGCGTGTTTTTAAAGCATTTATTTAAAGCATTTATCCTTCTTGGTATTTGTTCATTTGTGTATATTGCTCTGTGTGTTTCTCTTTCTCTCCTCCTACACATAAGGACATGAAGGCAGCAAACTTTGTTCATCCCCATATTCCTAGCTCCCAGCCAAGCCCCTGACGTATATTAGGGGCTTAATACAGACTAGCTGAGTGGCCGCAGGCAGTTTGGATCTGAGAAATGGGAGAACAGCATCTCACTTGTGCCTCCTCCCTCTTGGTCTGTGTTCAGGGGAACGCTTGGCCAAGCCAGAGAGAGGCAAGATGAGGGTGCACAAGATCTCCAACGTCAACAAGGCCCTGGACTTCATAGCCAGCAAGGGGGTCAAACTGGTGTCCATAGGAGCTGAAGGTGAGTAAGACCTTGCCCTGGAGCTGGATTTTCTGCCCTGTGGAAACAGCACTTGCCGTCCAGTCTCAGCATCCTCCCAGCCCTGCCCCGGGAAACCCAGGGCCCACTCCCTGGCCTGCACCTTGGCAACCCCTCCGCTGGACCCTGGGACTCTGGAATCCTGAGTGTGTGGAGTGCCATCTGCCAGCTGCACTGCGCTGCGCTGTCCCGAGTGGAGAGCTTGGCGATCTGGGGGCGTGTGCAGACGCTGGCTGGCTGGAGGGAGGGAGGGAGGGAGGGAGCCCTGCAAGGTGGATGTCCACAAGCCTTTAGGAACGTTCTTAATAGCATGTCCCTGCACAGCAGCTTCTGGACTCTTTCCCCTTCACTTAAAGAAAAAAATTTTAAGAAAAATCTCTGTTTAAGCCATTATTAGCATGTTCTTGATGGTTGAGGAAGTCATACAGTTTCTTGTGTGATTGTGGTGGCTCTGAAGGATCTGGGGAGGGTCGAGGTGATTAGCCTTAGAACACTGCAACCAGGCCCCATCAGTACTGTGTCTCATGAATTCATAAGTGTTCATTGGGCACCTGCTGTGTGGCGCCAGAGCTCAAAAGGTGAGTAAGACACAGCCTCCATCCATCCATCCATCTTGGCTCTGATTATTGATCACTTGCTTGTGGCAGGTACAGGCTGAAGCCCTTTGCACCAGTGATCTCATTTAATCCTCACCACAGCTGTCTGAGGTGGCTTTAAATATTATCCCCATTTTACAATAAGAAAGCAGATGTCTAGTGAGATCAATTTGTCCAAAGGCCCACCATCAGCGAGTGGCAAAGTCAGAACCCAAATCTAGGTCTATGTGACTCCGGAGAAATGCCTCAGAGGGTGGCCTTTCCTGGTGGTGCGGGGTGGATCTTGCTCCAATAAATCCATAGGAGCAGACGTCTTCTCTGATTGATGACTCTAAAGTCCGTCCTCCTCTTTTTTTCCAGAAACTGAAAGGTTTGACGTTGTTCCATCCAGCTGAGGAACTTTAGCACAGGGGTGGGCGAACTACAGGCCTTGGAGTCAAACCTGGCTGACCCAGGTTTTAGTAAATATTGGAACTTGGCTACACCCATTTGTTTACATATTTTTAGCTGCTTTCCTGCTACAGGCAGAATTGAATAGTTGCAACAGTGACCATCTGGCCTGCAAAGCTGGAAAGATTTCCCATCAGGCCCTCTACAGGAAAAGCTTGCTGACCTGGCCTTATCATGGACTCAGGCTGCTGCTGGTAGCCACCACAAGGGGCCTTATGTGTGCCACCCCCTCAGCTGTGCAGCAGAGGCCATGTCTTCTGCATTCTCATGGCCCAGGCTCCCAGCAGCACTATGCATACAGTAGGTGCTCAGTAAATGTTCAAAGGGCTTGCACGTAGTGGGGTACTTTGCTTTGTGAGTGGGAAAATAGTCTCTGCCTGTTAATAAGAAGAAAAGAATAGATTGTTCTCTTAGGGAGGGATCGAGACTTGACAGGAAAAGTTTCAACCAAGCAGGAATGGGGAGCTGAAGAAATCACCACTAAGGTTGTCTGATGCAAGCCCAGATAGCCACTGGGGCAGGGAAGTAAAGGATGTGTGAGATGGGCCGGGGTGAGCGATAGGGATGAGTGGGGACTGGGGAGAAGTGGAGAGAGATTGTCCTAACCAATTGTTGGTTCTAATTAATTGTTGAGATCTAAGCAATTGTTGCTGTGTATAAATACATATCCAGCATTGCTAGATTTTCCAGTTTTTCAAAAGAAGCTAGAAGTCCAGATTTTTAGAAAGGAAAATTTAACAACTACCTAAAAAAAATTTTTTTTTAAGGCTCTGAATACCAAAGAGAGAGGAAGAAACAAGAAGATGGATGAGAATAGTGCTTGCTGAGTTCCAGTTCTGTGCCTGGCCAGACAGGATACTTTGTAGTGTCACCAGCCACGTTTTAGAATGAAAGAAACTGAGGCGCAGAGAAGTTGCTAGAAAGGAAGTGTATAGTATGGTGAGCACAGGCTCTGGGCCAGACTGCTTCCATATGGCAGAGTCCAGATTAAACCCCAGGGGTCTGGGCTCTGGAGCTGAGGTCTGAACCTCTTCCCATCACCCCAGGGCATCACTCCCTCGGGGGTCTGGTTTCTGTCTCGTGGAGATTCTTCAGCGTCGTTCATTCCACCATCTGAATACTGTGCAGGTGGCTGCCTCCCTGGACCTGGGCCAAGAGAGAGGCGGGTTCTGAGTGAAAGCAGGATGTGAACAGCCTCATGGGTAGCTGTGACTCCTTCCCACACCCACGGCAGATGTGGTTAATCTGTCATCATGGTTTTTCCCACGGGCCCAGTTGTGGCCTTGGAACCCTCCTTTTGGACCCCAGCATTGCAGGCAGCCCCCTGACATAAAGCTGCCTGTGAGATGGGCGTCCTTACTCCAAACACAGCGATGCCTGGGAAAGGACCTGCCATCCTGGGGACCAGGGCAGGAGGGCTCTCTGGGGAGTTACATGCTGAGGGTGGAGCAGGAGTCAGGTGGGCAGTGGGGTTGGGGTGGTGTGTGGGTTCTTAACTGAACACATCTGTTCTCTTTGCCTACACTTGGCTCCTGTGTTTTCTGGATTGAAACTGCTTCTCTGGTAGGAGTGAGAATTCAATAAGCAAAACCCTCAGGGGCTGGAAGTTTCTGGGGAAGGAGGAGAGGAGTAAGTAGGGCAAGACCCAAAGAAGCAGCTGCCTTGTCTTCCCTGATCCTGGGAGGACCCTGAGCCCAAGGCCAGCTGGAGGCTGGGGTATTTGGCCTTTACCAATAGGGCAATGCTGGAAACAGGCACACTGGGTCAGAGAGGGGCCAGCACTACAGCCTCCACTCCTGGAAAGACCAAGCGGCAGCACCACCACCTGGAGCTTTTTCTAGACTTTAAAAAAATTTCCCCTTGATTTGAAATGCTGTCCACCAAATTTCATACCTGCTTTTTCTACTTCCATCATTATAAAGATTTTTCCTAGTCATTAAAAACTCATGAATGTAACTTTCCATGGCTGTGCTAGTTGGCTACTTATTGGGCACAGCTGTGCTCTGTTCTGGCCCTGGATCTGGTCCCAGAGGAGCCTGGGGGCTGTTGTTTTCTGCCCACATACCCACCTGTGGGTAGTGTCCTCCAGTGTCCGTCCATTCATTCCACAAATGTGGATGGAGGGCGTTCTCTGTACCAGGTGCAATGCTGGGCTCTAAGCAGGGATGCAAAACAGAAAAAAATCTTTACCCTTAGGAAGCTGTGTTCTAGGAGGGGAGCGGGAGAATACACACACACACACACACACACATATGTCATGGTGGGGGAAAGTGAGAGGCGCAGGAAAGGCTCGGTGAGTTGAAGGGAGAGTGGAGATGGGAGGGAGGTGAAAGATATCCCGGGATGGGAGAGCTGTGCAGAGGCCGTGTGCCTGGAGGGGAAGAGGGAGGAGGGGTCTGGGAGGCCCTCCTGACCATCAGCTTTGACTCGGAGTGAAGTGGGAAGCCAGGGAGGTTTGAGCAGAGGGGTGACAGGGTCTGGGGATTTACTCAGTCTTGCCTTGTACTTTGTATCTTCACATGGTTTCCCATGTGGGGCTATGATAAATAACCTCATAGCGAGCCTTACTCTGAATTTCACACGACTGGCTGCGGCTAGAGAGAGAATCTTACTCTCACAAAGTGAACTTCAAGATTCTTGCTCCCTGTTGCTAAATTATTTCCCAGAAAGGTGTTTGTTTTGTTTTGTTTTGTTTTGTTTTTAAAACCAATTTTTACTTCTGGCTGCATTGTGGTAGTCTTATGACCATCACGGTTTGTTATGACCATCACGGCTTGTTTTTTAACTTCACTAATTTTTTATTTTAATTTTTTTGGGGGGGGTAATTAGGTTTACTTATTTATTTAATTTTAGAGGAGGTACTGGGAATTGAACCCAGGACCTTCTGTATGCTAAGCATACACTCTACCACTTGAGCTATACCCTCCCTCCTCTTAACTTCACTAATTTAATAGCTGGGAAAATGGTATGTTATTTCTTTAGTTACAAGTGAGATTGACATAAGTTGGTTATTTGTATTTTGTGTTTTGTGATGTGTCTATTCATGTCTTTTGCCTAATTATCTATTAAGAAATTAGAGTTTTTTCCTTAACAATTTGTATAGGTTCTTTAAATGTTACAGGTATGAAATCATTGGGAGTTGCAAATGGAAGGGCATTTAAAAACTATCAAACCTCCAGGAACTGATTCTTAACTGGTTAACTGACTCTCCTTCCCGCGTTGTGCTCTGCAAAATAGGAGCTGGCTGTTCTAGTTAAGGGGGATGGGCGTATGCTGCTACAGCTCCCTGTCTCTCTACCCCAGGTCTTCCAGCTTTGGTCATTGCCCTGCTGATGCCTAGGGCTCTGGGAGGGGCACTTAAACCCCTCTCACAGCAGGAAGAATTACATCCTGTCCCATGGCCAGAGTAAATGCTGTTCCTTCTTTGCGCAGCACTCGGATGCAGTCTTGGCAGAGGTTCTGGTCCCCAGAAACAGCTGTGGCCAGGCATCACTGCTCATACAGCAGCATGAATTTTGCCCTCCCTCTTGAGGAAGAGGATGAGATCTTAGAGTATTATTTCCTTGATGGAATCCACTCTTGTTTAAGGGCTTTGTGGGAAGCAAACCCTCGTGGACATGGGTCCAGGGAATCAGGAGTCCCTGGAAGTTGCCCTGTCTTGTGGTTCTCTTGGGTGTGCCCTAAAACTAGTGTTGCAGGTGGGGAAAAATAAAATATTCTTTGAATGCCTGACTCTTAACTGAGAGTACCTCACCATGGGGCCAGGTTACCATTTCCTGTCTGGAAGCAGGAGTCAAAGTAAGGAGTCTGATTGCCACCTGTTGAGCCCCTAAGACCGTAAGTGGCTATTTCAGGCTCCTTAAAGACAGTGCTTGCATATCTTCGTATTTTCTGCCTCTGGGCCTGGTACTGGAAAAAAAAAATTGCTTCATAGAATTTATAGAATTATTTGAAAGGTCTAAAAGGTGCTTCTTAGACTGAACTTAGTGGTATATCTCTTAGTTGTGACCTTGAAACTTATTTGATTTTTTAATTAAAAAATACCCAACTGATGGCACCATGAGGTTGATTTGTGAGTGAGTGGATACTTCAAGATGGTAGTCTATAAACCTTTGTTGGGTGGTTACTTTCTGTTGCCTGCACTGGTTTTCCAGGTCTCAGAGCTGTGCTCGCCCAGAGGTCCCCATCTCACGGAAGTGCCAGAACATTTGTGATGACTTAGAAATCCTCTCCATCTTTCTTTTCTGTCAGGCTGCTGGACACCACTTGGGGTTTAAGACACCCTGTTCTCTGTTGCCTTTCCTGTTGTACCCAGTCGAATCGACCACAGCCTCCTGGGGCCCCCAGGACACCCCTAAATAGACTTCCCTTCTGGTACCTGTGACATGTAATTGCACTAACTTTTAAAACATACTGACTTCCTTCTAGAAGTGGAGGGTGTGGAGCGACATGGGTGCTTGGGGAATTTGAACTCTGTCTCTGCTGAGACCCATCCTAACATGTCCTGCTGCTGTTTCTGTAGAAATCGTGGATGGGAATGTGAAAATGACCCTGGGCATGATCTGGACCATCATCCTCCGCTTCGCCATCCAGGACATCTCCGTGGAAGGTAGGTCTTCTGCTCTGTTCCATGCCAGCCCCTGCTCTGTTCCACGCCGGGCCCAGGCTTCCACCTCTTCTGACCCTTCACCATCACATCATTCTCCCTGACAGTAGGGGCCGTACGGTCAATAGGGCCTTGATCATGGGCTGCATCCTGGGCTGCTTATCCATTGCTGGCATCTGTCTTCCCTCCTAGTTTGCAGAGAAGTAAGAACTGTTTAGAGTACTGGTCCCCACAGGTGTGTTGGTCCCAGGGAAACCCCTCTGTGGGGAAGTGTATTGGAAACCCCACCTGGCTCTTGGGTTGTTAAATGTGAAAGAGTAAGGGAATTGCAGCTGGGAGAGTGAGTTGACTCCAGGTCCTCCACTTTGCTCCCGTAGCACCCTCTGGTGGCCACTTCGCAGATCTGCAAGGGACCACCGTGGTCTGGAGCAGTGATCTTTGGAGGGGTGGGGAGGTTGGGGGGCAGATTTGCTTATTTATTTATTTATTTATTTATTTATTTATTTATTTATTTATTGAAGTATAGTTGATTTACAATGTTGTGTTAATTTCTTGTGTATGACATAGTGATTCAGTTATACATATATACATGTATATGAAAAGGAATATTCTTTTTCATTTTAGGCTATTATAAGGTATTGAATATAGTTCTCTGTGCTATACAGTAGGACCTTGTTGTTTATCTGTTTGATGTATGGTAGTCAGTATCTGCAAATCTTGAACTCCCAATTTATCCCTCCACCCCCTCTTTTCACCCTGGTAACCATAAGTTTGTTTCCTATGTCTGTGAGTTTGTTTATGTTTTGTTAATAGTTCATCTGTCTCATTATTTTTAGATTTAACATATAAGTGATATTGCATGGTATTTTTCTTTCTCTTTCTGGCTCACTTCACTTTGTATGACTTTTGATTTCATACTCCAGCAGTTTTTGAACTTTATGTCTGATATGTGTGTATTTATTTTATAATAAACTATATTCGTGTATTGCTGTGCATATTATAAAACATGCATAACAAAACAAATTTTAAAAAGATGAGATGGAGGTAATAAAAATATTTTAAATTCATTTTAATGGCCCAGAAATCTCGAAGATTTTTATTCAAAATAGTAATTTTTTAATGGGAACAATACGGATTAAGTTGCTTTCTTATGGAAATGTTGGTTTGACACTTGGTGATACGGCAGTGTGAAGGTCTAAGTTTGGTTTATAGAGACGTGGTATTCAGGGCTGAAGTGGTTAAAAAGATGCTCACAATCACTTAGGGACTGGTTCTTGTTAGTGATAATAGATAGAAATCTGTTTTTCAAATACTTTCTCAAATCGGTGTGATTCTTGTGGACAGACTTCTTGTCGGCTCTGATTAAATTGTTTTAATCCTGTATTGTAGCTGGTGAGGAGCTTGAACTGGGAGGAGGACTGTTAACTTTGGTGATATTTTTGTTGTTGTATGCTTGTGCTTGAATTGTTGCATCATGTTTGCAGGAATTGTTTTAACATCATTTTAAAGTATTTTGTAAATTGGAAGAAAGTGAGTTCATCCACAAATCATTTCACTGGGTACCATAACCTGCAGTTCACAGACATGAACGCACGGGGTGCGGTCCCTTCAGTTCAGACACGTGGCTGCTTTACACACACAGCAACGATGTCAGTCTCAGCATTAAATATAAGGAAGCCCTATTTTTTAAAATGAACGCTGAATCTGAGTAGGAGTCCTAACGCTTTCTTCCCACGTAGCTATGTGCACTCCACGGTCCTTCTAGATTCCTGGATTTGAGATTGCACAGACCAAACTTTCCTCCCCGAAGTGGCCACCTGACAGAGGTTGCTGACTTCTTTTTATTGTTGCCATGTCTTTGAATAAAAGGGAGTGATTGGGAGATAGTCTAGAAGTTTGAAAGGCAATTTTCTCAGGATTTAAATGTATAATGTGGCCAGCTCTGAAACGCTCCTGACTTCCTTCTGTGTTTCTCAAATAACTTCTCAGCCTTTGTCAAGGAAAAAGAGTTGGTGGCCTGGTAGCAGCAGGGTTGAAATCTAGGGGTCTTTGTGTGGACTCCCTGTGTGAACAAGCATGGGCCCTGTGGCCTTGGTGGGCCTTCCAGGAGCCCACGGCCTTCCCTCCACTGAGCCCCGCTGACCTCTCCACCTGTCATCCCCTCCCTGCAGAGACTTCGGCTAAGGAAGGGCTGCTCTTGTGGTGTCAGAGAAAGACAGCGCCTTACAAAAACGTCAACATCCAGAACTTCCACATAAGGTGAGTGGCCGGGGGCTGAGGGGCTCTCACAGAAACTAGGCTGCTTCCCCCAAGGACCCCTGGGCCCCTTGGCTGGGTCGGTCTCAGCTCCAGAACAGAACAGGGGCCTTTGGGGAAGAAGTCTTTTCTGGGAAGGAAGTGTCACTGACCCTTTGATGCCCTTTCTCCCTCCTGCTGAGCAGACACTCTCTCCTGGCTACTGCCTGCTATACCTTTGGTTGATACTCATAGGGCCTCCAGGAGAGTGACCGGGAAATTCCAGCCTGGGGCTCTGGATCTGAGCAGACGAGGACCAGAGACCTTGGTGGGGGTAGGGTTGGATGTGGCAGGTGTATCTCACTTGCCAGGCCCCTCAGGGTCTTAGCCCAGTGCCTGGGATTGTGGCAGGAAGAAACGTCCTTCCCAGCCCGTCTTCTCCCAACCCCTGCTCTGAAGGGTTATGTATTCATCCTGAAAAGGAGACCCCCGCCTAGTGTTTTGCTCCTGGCGCTCGGCCCCACTCACCAGCGCGCCCCACCTTCTCTCCCCTGGGCAGCTGGAAGGACGGCCTTGGCTTCTGTGCCTTGATCCACCGACACCGGCCTGAGCTGATTGACTACGGGAAGCTGCGGAAGGTTTGTGAGCTCCTCGCCGTACCCCAAGCTCCCACCAAGCTGAGCCCTCTGGGTGGGTGGGGGAAGGACAGGACTGGGCCCCCTGTTCTAAGAGCCCAGGGCCCAGCATGAGGGGTGTCAGGCTCCTTAGACCAGCTGAGGAGACGGCCCATCTAGAAGCAAGAGAAAAACACCACTTCTGTTAGGGCTGCTTCAGGACATGTGTGCCCAGCACGTGTGTACTTGCTGACATGCCAGCCCGCCTGGGAAAATAGCAAAACCACCACAGCAGTTTTGGAGGGATGATGGAGTACTAAGCGGCATTTTCCCCTCTGGGTTTCGGGGTTTTGCGAGGTGGGTATATCACTTTCATCAATTAAGATACCGCGTCGTCTGGGCCTCTGTCCCAGCCGCGCCCGAGACTTGCCGCCCGGTCCTGGGCAGGTTCCCGCCTCGCCTTTGCCTTCCTTCACTGCGGCAGTCTGGCTGGGGGGTCTTGCTGCTGCTTGATGTCATTTATGCTTTTGCTGTAAAGCTGCTGAGGGATTTTCTCGAGCGTATGTGTGTTGAGGAGCGGACTAGGACGTGGAGGTGGTGTGTCTCACCTCGTGGTGGTTCTTAGTGTCCCGACTGGTTAAGGGACGCTGGCCTGACCTTAGAGAGGCTTGTCCGGGACACTGCCTGTACTCACATCCTCCCTCTCGGCCCATCTGGCGCCGAGAAGCCTCGTGGTGCAGGCCTCCCGGAAGAGGGCACGTGTGCAGCACTCTGCACACCCCAGGAGATGACCTGGAGCTCAGCTGAACGTCCCCTATTGGTGCTTGGGTCTCTTGGCAAAGGGCTCCTAGGAATGACCGTTCTGGTATTTGTCTCCTTGGCCTTGACCTTTGGAGAGCTCAGTGTTCAGTGAAGTCCCCCACCTTGCCTGTGCCCCTAGAAAAGGCCTCTGCTGCTTCCCAGTGGCCACACAAGGCTCGATGTTGCCAGTGCAGGAGCTGCTCCATGGCATCAGACCCTCTGTTTCGGGGTGTGGTGGGGTGCATTGCTGAAAAGGATTTGTGAGGGAGGAAAGGAGCAGGTTCCCACTCCCTCCAGAAACCCTGAGCTGAGCCTGAAGCTTCAAGCTGGGCCTCTGCCCACTTGGAAGGGCCCACCTGCCGAGGGAGAGGAGACAGCTGCCTGGCCCTGTGTGTGGCTGTATCCAGGTGTGCGTGGACCAGGGGCCAACCCTTCCCAAGCTAACCTCCAGGGGGATAAGGGATACCAGTCCTCTAATTCAGCCGCTTTGCAAAGAAAAAAATCAATTTGAGAATGTCCCCCTGACCTGCCTAAAAGCTATGTGGCCAAACCCAGAGACCTTTTATAAAAGGCGTCATCACGCACTTCCCTACTGTTCAGCCAATACACTTTCATGACAGGTGTGCGTGTGACTGTCCCTGCGTGGGAGTGCTGGGGTGGCAGCAGCCAGTTAATGCCAGCCTTTCCCCACCCGCCATATAATATGGGGCCGTGCTGACTGACTCTTCAGCACCCCCCGCACCTCCCCGCGTTCCACAGACCCCAGGGGCCTGTGTCTGATCCTTGCCAGCTCTCTCCTCACCCTCTGTCCCTTCCTGTGTCTTTTCCTTTCTCCTTGATCATGTCTGTCTTCCTGTTTCTCTATGTCTGTCTTCCTCTTTCTTTAATTCAGTAGCCAACAGTAAAATCCAGCCCAAATCCTAGCACAGAGCTGTTTCCACTGAAATGTGGATTCTTTCCAGAAAACATAGAGATTGCCACAGCTTCTGGTGCTTGGGAACAGGGGCGAGCCGAGAGCCCTGACCGGGAAGTGCTTCCTTCCCTCACTTTCTCTAGGTGGGCATGGGGGCCTGGCAGTCCCTGGAGGTCAAGTGCAGCAAATGGCTGTGCACCCGGGGCCTGAGGACGGCCTGAGGCCCTGGACGGAAATGTCCTTTGCTGCTTGGCAGTGTCCTTCCTTCCTTCCTTCCTTCCTTCCTCTC